AAGTTGTACAATGGGCTCTGTTATAAAAATAAATGTGTTATCCTGGCAATTCATAAAAACCCAAAGAAGCTCTAAAAGACCAAAAAATAGCTGACTTATACCATGTCAAAAAAGGCAATGTTGAAGCTAAGGTGTAAAAGAAAATGATAACCTTTGGGGTACAGTTAAAATCTCCACAAAGAACAATTGGAGCATTATTCCACAACTTTGAGACAGCATGAGCTCTATCTAGGAGCCTCCTAACCTGTTAGATGAAGCCACAGCCACACAAGTTAAGACAACTATAAGAAAATATCCAAATATTCAATATATTGAATAGATATTCAGGAAAAATCTCACAACCTGATTCAGAAAAGCAATTACCTGGCCAAGTTTAATCTCTCCTCTTTTTGGGTTATACAGCACATGAATGTTACATATAACAACTTTATAAGAATCTGATGAGCTGCAAAATTCAGTGTGCTACATGGTAAATTCTTTACATGATAAATGGAAACATCAAAAGATTCAATATTAACTTTTAATTTAAAAGCATTTGGTGTAAACAAAAATGAAGATAGCCATACATAAATTATATATGGCACAAGCTGTGAAAAGACAAATATTTTATGAAATATTGGCCTACACACAACTAGTACTTTTAGCTTTTAACTTTTTGCTTGAGCATGGGATAACAGCATATTTACCAGTATCAAAATATATGTTTACGTGCAAACTTCAAATTATTTTATACTTTTCTTCTATACAAATTTATGAAGTTCAAAGGGGGAAAAAAAAAAAAAGAACAAACAAGAAGAAGAAGAAGAAGAAGAGTGAAAAAGAAAGCATGAAATATCCTCCATTACCTTCCTGGAGGAGCTGCTGTATTTTCAGTGTTATTTTGGCTCAATAACTGTTCAAAAAAGAAACAAAGTGAATTCAATGACTTAAAACTGTGTCAACCATGAGAAAAAAGAGGTCAAGATGAACTCCATCTGATAAAATCATATTAAAATTGAGAAATCCATGTAATTTTCAGTCAGGAGATGTGATATACCTCAAAAACACATATCTGCGAGACATTATCCCGAAGCTCAAACTTATTGAACTCAATACTTTCATTGTAGATTAATTTGAACCTGAGATGAAGACCATCAGACAAACATATTTCTTTTAAAGAGATTTATATACCATAGAAACAAAAATGTATCCATTTGTAGATGTGCATATGGGCATGCATGCATGACATAGCTTTGTGTCCACAACTAGGGAAAACAAAACCAATCAGCTTAACAGCAAAAATCCTGCTACTAAACTCTTTATTAGTAACAACAGTACAGAAAGAAAAAGGGCCAAACATACAGCTAAGTGAAAACTTCCAAAGAAAAGGAAAGAAAATCTTTAAGCAGGCAACTTGCATCACTGACCAACTATAACATTTTCAATCTAAATACTGCTAATCAGGGGAGAAACTGGTAGATCGATATAGCAATTAGGTTGACACTGTTATCACAACTTGGACAAGCACTATAACATTTTCATTCTAAATACGGCTACTCAGGGAAGAAACTGGTGGATGGATATGGTAATTAGGCCGACATCTTTATCACAATATGGATAGGCTTGGTATCACTATCAAATAAATCAAACTAATAAGGGATGATGCATTATTATCACAAAAATAGAAACTGCTACTTTTACCAATTACCATCAAATAAAGCAACCACTCAAAAAGGAAGCTTTAGGCAAAAACAATGGAAGCAGAGGAAAACAAGTGTGCTTCAAAATGAAACTGCCCAGCCAATTCTTATAGTCTCATTGAAATGAAGCATCATACAGACCAAAAGGGACTATCAGTTCCCAAGTATTGCAGTAAATTAGACCTTAATGCTCATAAACAAAGGATACATGGCAGTTGCAGGTGAAATTACCTTGAAGTTTTCCAGAAGATTGCACAACCATCAATTGCATTGCCAGTTCGCATCTGCAAGATAAGCCAGCAGAGTTAAAACTTTGATATCCCAGACTTCATCAGTCCAGTATAGCTTCTTAAAACCTAAACTAAAAATGTGTAGACTAATGATTTCAACAGGTTTCAGATAGATATGCATGGCTCTGCATAAAAGAAAAACAGCAAACAGGAGTAAGAGGGTTCTTAACAAAGCATTTCAAAACAAACCTTCCAAATGCCATTATATCCCCTGAGCTTCAACTCCTTCTCCAAGTCCTGAAATCTATCAACCTCCTGCATTCTAACCATTGCAAGATGAGAAGACTAATAAAAACAACATGTAACACAAAAAACATCACTTAAGTAAAACCCTAAACAATAATCACTTTCGTAAGAGCCAAAATCTAGATATGTCTATATAAGTCCTTGGTTCTAGACTTCTAGGAAGCAAAAGTAAAATTGATTGGACAAAGTAGCAAGAATATAAACCAAGAAGATCCATGTCACCAGTCGACGCTAATACTATTAGTCAAAGAAGAATAAAAGGAAAACAAATGAAGTAGAAACAAGAATGCAGAGCTGAGTTATTGATATATCCTTTTCCTACATGGATCTTCCTCTCCAGGAAACCCAACAGGGTCGTTGGTGATTCAAATACAGAAATACAATTAGAGAGGTAACCTGAAAACACATTATATCCGTTGACCATAACCCGAGCTCAAAGATTAAATTCCTCTTTCTCCACTCCCAATCCAACATATGGCGAGGTATGTGAAAGTAAAGCCTTGGCCGATGGCTAGTAGTAACATAGTCCGCCAATATATTATACGAAAGAATAGTAAACCTCTCTGCAAATTACAAACATTAACAAGCTTAATCAATGTGAAAGCAACTGAATTAATAAGAGCTCCACCACAAGTGCGGTTGGTTACCACTTACCAGAATTAGGTGGAGGTGCCGTTTTGGCATACTCCCAGATGCGGTAATCCGGTGGCTTTTGAGGTTGGGACCGGATTGGCCGGGGGGCGTAATTTTGAATGAACAGTGGGCGTTGATTCTGATATTGGTTGTGCAGAGGAGGTTGCTGAAACTGTTGGTTTTGGTAGTGTGGCGGTGGAGGTCTCGGATTGAAACTGAAGCGCTGAGGTTGAAAAGAGGATTGATCGGAGAAGGTTCCTTGGCGGAAACCGAGGTTCGCGTCTACAGCCGATTGGTAGTGTGAGTCGCCGGTAACAGGCTCGCCTATTGCGCCTCTTTCTGCACGGTCGGAGAAGTCTCTGCGCCACTGATTGCGTCCATTTCGGTACCGTAGATATAAAACTGAATGTAAATGCATATAGTTATGCTGAGTGCCTCCAATGGACAAAGGAGAGAACGGTGAAGGTACCAAGGAGCGAGATGACATGGCAGTTATGTCGGCGACGAGGTTAAAACG